TATTAAGCTAGACTACAAACTAAGTAACCAACGCTTCTTATAGAATTAACAGTAGTAAAACATCACCATGGCAGACAACACAGAGATGGAGACAAACGCAAACAGATATTGAAGCATGAGGAGAGTTGCGCAGTTTTTGCATGTCCAATCCACTCAACCACTCTCTAATCACATTGGGGATGATCAAAAACTAAATGACACGCAATATTTGTTATTCTAACAGCTTTCAAAGGTCAAGCTTATAATACTAAACTGCCGTTAAGAGGCTCACGTTACCATTCATAAGATGAATATGGCTTTTTATGATGCTCAGCTGAGTGTAAATCCTCTGTATTTGTTTGCCGGGGAGGCTTTTCTCATGACATCTTGTCAGTAGAGGGGCTGGTGTGATTAACTCTCCTTCCTCCATATTTTGAATGTCTTCCAAATGATCAGTCACGTGGGTGTCCTTGGGTGTCAAACAAATAAATCTTAACTGGTGTGCCGCTCCGCCACAGTCAGATATAAAGCACCATGCAAAACAGATATATATGCATACACGTTGTTACGTCAGAGAACATAAAATACAGAGAATGTTGGTTACATAGTGTAACCCCAGATAGAGCTTTCACTATTGGGTTCAACCATGCGCAGTCCTGAAGATTTCTTCATATGTTTCATCTTGATGTGCCGTGCATGGGCCTCTCTCAGGTCAGCATATTGGGTATATAATACCGGAGTGACCAGAGATCCCAAATAGGTCAGCTTTTTTTCTTCAGTCGACGCTGGTGGGACCAGTCGGGCCCGCAGCTTTGAGGGCTACCCTTGTACTCAGAATCCAGGGTTACAGTACGTAACCAACGTTCTATTTCGCATAGGCTTCGCCCTCTAAGAGCTGTCGCTATTGGGATAAGGGCGAAGCCAGATGTAGTCAGTGCCCACAGGACCACCAGCGGTCATAAGCATTACCACACTAGCTTACAGCACCCTAATCACACACCACGATAAAAGACCACCAATAAATGTAGGTTATTGTTCTGTGTGGTCTCGAATCAGGGTCCTTCTGTGCAGAAAGCAAGCGTCACATCCACTACGCTACAGAAACTGCGATCCACAGCTCTTGCCGTCCGTGTTTGAAACAGAATGGCTGACCACATCACTCCTCACACCTGCTGCTGTGAGGGAATTGGAACGAGAGTTACGCATTGTAACCAGTCCTTTTTCTGAGACAAAACAAATAAGATAACATGAGATTGACTGTCATAGAAATAATATAATCTCTTACCATTAAATCATCAAGAACCAAAATCTTATTAGACACAAAAGGTGTAGAGCTAATCAATAATAGATTTTTATTCCATATTGGACACTTTGTTTATGACATTTGCAGTTATTCCCTGAATACTTATTACATTGTTTCCAAATATTTACACTTTATTTCACCTGCTATTCATGTAATGGACCATGTCGCTCCTGCACAAAGGAGCACAGTGTTTCACAGTTTACATCATGATATTAGCTGTAGCCCCTGATCAAACAGCGGGCTCTGTAGCATCTTATTAAATTTACAGCAGCGCTAACATGTCCCTGTTCTACTTTCATTTTCATCCCACATCCTCATCAGGTTTTCAGACTGACAGCTCTACGAAGAACAAAGGAGCTCATTAATCATTTAGAAGCTGGATGGAGAGAACCAAGGCATTTTTCTGCTTTTTCAGGTCATCTTCAGATGCAGAGAACGCAACCCTGCACCACCTCATGAGAATGATGCCATGTAGCGACACAAAATCATCATGATGTCAATATACAATATTTTATTCAGTGATCTTTACCACAGGCTCACCCAGAACATCAGAGGAATGTAAACCACATGCTACAAAGTGCAGATCAGTTTAAATCTGCAATAATACATATATGTTTATATTAACAACTGATTAAATGTGTGGTGTGAAAGTTGTCATAGTGATAAACCCACAGAGAATCATCACCAACTCGACAGTTGCAGTACAAAGCAGATGTTGTATGCATGTCATATGGGAGTTATTGTAATGACCAGTTGGGTTGAAGGGTTGAAATCAAAATTAAGGTTAAAATGAGGTACTCCTTTATCTTTTACATATAAATATCAACTGAGGGAAGAGATATGGGACAAGATGAGGAGACTGAGGGTAAAGAAAGAGAAGGTGATGGAGATGAGAGAGGAAGGGAAGTACTGCCTACAGCGTTATGTCCAAACAAAAACTGACCTGATCCAATAATTTATTTACCACTGAGATATATATGTTCCTAATAACAGTGGACTGTATGGCTCAATTTAATACCGGCATAATTATAGTGTAATAATATATAATTTTATAAATAAATTATTGTATAACGCACATTTTGTTTGTGTCTATGACAGTGTTATATTATTATAAAGTGTTAATTCATAGGGTTTAATTTAAATCCAAACTTAGAAACAAAGAATGAAATGAAATAAACAAGGTGTAAATAATTTGACTACATTTTTAAAAATACACTTTGGCAGGTGAGTCATGACCGAAAGCACGAGATCGCGGGTCCGAGAAATGGGTTTCCTCAGGCGGGTGGCTGGTGTCTCCCTTAGAGATAGAGAGCTGCTGCTCATTGTGTCGCAAGGAGCCAGTTGAGGTGGTTTGGGCATGGCCTGGTAAGGATGGCTTCTGGACGCCTCCCTAGGGTGGTGTCCCAGGCACGTCCAGCTGGGAGGAGGCCTCGGGGAAGGACTAGGTGGAGAGACTATATCTCCACACTGGCCTGGGAACACCTCTTGATCCCCCAGTCAGAGCTGGTTAATGTGGCTCGGGAAAGAGAAGTTTGGGGTCCCCTGCTGGAGCTGCTGCCCCCGTGACCCGAGCCCCGGATAAGCCGGTGAAGATGGATGGATGGATGGATGGGCTTTGGCAGGAGAGTGGAGGAGTCACAGAGAAAGGGACAGGCACTGTGAGAGAGAAGTGTAGGTGGTGTCTGTACTGTGAAATCCCCTACAATCCACAGTACAGTCTGTATTTACAGCTTGTACTGTGGATCACTCATTGCAACATTTAACCTGATTGGCATGACCAGTGCAGCCAAGGGGTTATGCAGTCCTAATAAAAGGAGAATTTATTTACAATTAACTCGGAAAACAAAGACATCGGGGAGAGCATGACCCTTCCCTACTAACAAAGCAAAATGCCAAAAAAGATGACAGGTTTCCAGGACTGCACTTTCTTAGTTTTGTCTTATAACATGTAGCACTGGATTCTGTGGCAAATTTGTCTTAACCACTAACAGGTCCTAACAATCACATAGTTTGCTCAGCATGGTTCAGCACATTTAGTTGGGGAGAGAGGAAAAAGCAAGAGACCCCAACACATCAGCATGTGTTCTTTTACAGCAGGTGTTCTCCAGCCCAATCAGCCAACCCCCACCTGTAAACAACAAACTGAGCACACACAGGACAGCTTCTCCCTGAGGCAAGGAGGATAAACAGCAGAGTTCCTGAAGCGGCGAGTCATAGATTAACCTCAGTAGCTGCAGCTGTGTAGCTACACAGCTTTTTTCGCGACGTCGTGCACCTTGCATCCTCCCCTTCATGTTTGCTTCATCATCATATGACTGACTTGTGCAAGCTCACATTAAAAAAGTTCTTAGAGAGCTGCTCATCTTTAAGAATCGTATCAGTGATTCTGTGAGGAAGTGCAAAGACAGAGAGAAACACAAGAATACATCGTACAACGGCTGAACTATTTAATTACAAATCAACAAAACAGTTATGCGCAGGGATCTGATGATCATGTCTGTCTAAATTATTGCAATCAAATATTTTATTCATATTTTTTCTACTGAAAAATAAAAATGTACTGTATGTAATTTCCATTAATAATTAAATATATGAACTGTGCCAGAAGTTATTGTTTTAAAAATGTATATGGGTATAAACTATAAACCCGCGACCCTGTAAGCAGTTGACGATGGATGGTATAAACTCTATTTTACAACATTGTACATTGCTATAACACGAAATAGAGACTCAAGCTGTTATTTTGCCGATAAGATTCATCTGTTTATCAATAAATGGAGACTGATTTTTATAGAATGGAATTGTCATGTTTTAAGCAAAGTATTGTGTACACTGAAACAGTATATTACATCAAAATCCACCACCAGAGGGCGGCATAACTCCTAGAACTGATCTTGAATCCACCTTCAGCAGTGGCCAGCTCGGGCAAGCATTATTAATGTTCTGTAATGTCTGCTTTCCTTCATATTTTATTTTAATTTCACCTCTCCTCCCTCTCTCACCCTGTGCTGATCATTTCCTGTCAGCATCATATATATTATACAATATTGTTTATTTTAAGTAAGTAAGTTAATAACATAAACTATTATTCAAAACAGATGGACAAATCTATCCATTGAGGAATCAGAGCCATTGATTGGCTTTTGCAGATGCAATTGTGTATTCAAAGGGTGGGCCGGTGCTGAGGTTAGGGAGCCAGGTGACAAAGACCGAGGAGACTGAGGGATGCTGTTCAGCATGCCCTTCACTTCCCTGTCAATGGATGCTTCACTTATGTAGAACAGTTTAAGAGTGGCGTCTGTCTGCAATAAGGCCTCAAACAGATCGATTATGAATGTTGTGGCCAGCTGATCCGCACTCCTCTTCAGAACAGCTCCAACCCCATCTGGCACCACTTACCTGTGGCTGGCCTTGAAGGAATTCCACGTTCCTGCTTAAAATCTCTTTTTGTAGAGGTGGGTTGAGGAAGTTCCCATTCTTGCGGTATTGCGTGCAAGATCCATCGCTGAGGAAACGGACCACTGTGACAGCAGGGAGGAGGTTGTTGACATAGGACAGAATGGGGCTTAGATGCACTCTTCACAAAATTTTAAAACCATTTCAAAAGTTTTTATAAGTTAAAATAATTGTATCAGGCTGCGAGAAATCCAAGCTGATATCATCAATGATGACCATATTTTCAATAACATCCAACGAGTCTCTCTGTCAACACTAGGTCGAATCCTCAAGAAAAATCAAATATACATGAAGCAACTGTATCGGGTACCATTTGACAGAAATTCAGAGAGTGAAACATCTGCGCAATGAGTATGTGGAGGTATGTATTCATGTTATTATGGTGTGGTATTGTGCACTGCTCATAATGTTCTGGCACAAAAAAATACTGTGCAATAGATATTGAATAGCATCCTATTGTCTTTTACTGTGTTTCAGAGAGTCCAGCATAAATTCAACATGAATTTATATATGTGGATGAGGCTGGATTTAACCTTGCGAAAACAAGAAGAGGGAGAAATGTAATTGGACACAGGGCAATCACCAATGTGCCAGGGCAGCGAGGGGGTAACATCACCCTTTACACTGCTATTACACAAAATGGGGTCCTCCACCACTATGCAAATGTGGGACCCTATAATGCAAATCTAATACTTGCATTTCTTGACAGATTGCACGAGATTGTCACAGCATTAAACCAAGTGGACCAGATGCGGTACATTGTCGTTCGGGACAATGTCTCATTCCACCGGGCTGCTCTGGTCCAGAATTGGTTCCATGAGCACCCTGAATTTGAAGTCTTATACCTTCCCCCTTCCTCAATCCAATAGTTTTTTTTCAGCATGGCGGTGGAAGGTATACGATCTGCGGCCCTATGACCGTTTGCCCCTCATTCAGGCCACGGAGCAGGCCTGTGATCATATCGAAGCAGCTTCTGTGCAGGTGTAGGTTCGTCACACGAGGCGACTCTTCCAACGGTACCTTGCCAATGAAGACAATCTGTGATGTGGATGAAATCTTATGGCCTGATCCAGACAGGGATGATGAATAGTTAGTTTTCTTGTTGCTTTTACAGTCAAAGTGCATGTACTTCATGCAGTAATTTTTATTTGTCAACAGATTTTATTTGTTTCATTGTTGGATTACTGTAACTGATTATGTTAAGAAATACTGTAAGTATTGAAATAAATACTTGGAATATTCAGTCTGCAGCATCAGTGTTGTGCAGTGCTTGGTAAGTTTATAGTAGGCCTCTGTGTACATTCTCCCTATATCTCAAACTAATCATGAAGAATGTTGTGGGTTTGTCACTTTTTTTTTATCATCTAAATTATCCCTTACATAACAATGTCTGGCCAAAAATATAACACATGCTATTTCCTAAAAGTACTTTTTTTACAAATGTGTTTTATTTATCACAGCAGTGTGAAACTGGCTGCAATCGTGTCTGATCATTGAGGACTGTGTTGGTTAAATGAAAACAATTGCATTTTCACAAATATGTGTATGTTTTGACTGAAGTGTCATTTTGCAAACAATCTAGGAATTATGCAAATTGAGTGTGGTGTTTGGATAATTGTGATTATATTGAAGAGAACCCGGTTTTCAAAATTGCGTGTAAACAATTGGAAAAAACAGGATTACTCATTGCCTTAGGAAACATCAAACTATCAAACTTCTAAAATGTAATACTTTCTTTTTAAAAACTATTATATGCATTACTCATATCAAATCACATATAGTCCATGAAAAAAGAAACAATAATCCAACATTAACTTTGCAGCATCTACAGAGGTAGCAGCAGTTTCAGCTTTGGGTGACAGATGGGTCACTGAGGGGGATCTGTGTGTATGTTTGTGTAGGGGTGTGTGTACACGGAGGGGAGCAGAGCAGGTGACAGGTGAACTACTCAAGTTGACTAAAAAAAAAAACGTGGTGTTTTGTCGGGAGATGCAGTGACAGAAACCAGCGGTGAGAAAACTATAAATCGCTCTGACGTTAGAAGACACATTGGATATTTTACGAGCATGCCGATCAGGTAAAGCAACATTTACCACATCTTTTAGGGAGAGCCTCAGCTGTAAAGGAAAGAGGTGCGCTGGATTTATAAAATAAAACGAGTGTCGTTGTGAAACAGCACCCGTTTTATAATTGGTGGAAGCAGCTTCAAGCTACAGCTGCAGCAGTCTCTCTACACTGTTTCGACCTGACCTTTCTTTTCTCAGTGAGATGGAGGAATTTAGAAAGTTGTGTGGCGCTGCGTCAGGCCCCCAGCTGTCGTGCATGATTTATGTGTAAAATTCATCCAGCCAGAGGGTCTGATCATAAACAGTTCACAGCGTGCTGGTAGTAGGCCTACTACACAACCCATTGAAGGTACCGGAGAGGGAGTGGGTTGCTGGGGTGTAATGGGCCAGGAACAAGAGATTGTGGTGCGGCCGGCCGCGCTTAGGATGTTCGGTGATTGTTCCCTCTTGCTGGAGGAAGCCACATCTAATTGAGCACCACGCTATGTTGATGCGCTGCGCAGTTTTTTATATCATAATTTATAGTTGGGCATGGGGAGTGTCAAGTCAGCTTGACTGGTTTTGGTTGGTTGGTGTTAAAGTCAAAGTCAAGTCGCAAGTCTTCTTTGATTTTGTCAAGTCGAGTCTAAAGTCATCATTTTTGTGACTGGAGTATGACTCGAGTCCAAGTCATGTGACTCGAGTCCAAACCTCTGCAAAATGGTGCTGAATCACACTGGTCAGCATCTGGTCCTACATATAAAACTCCAGTGTGCACCATTGCTTGCTTATGGGATCGCAGATGCATTTTTACATATTTAATTCTCAGAGAAGTCCACATGCATAATACATTAGTTATCATCAGTTCCCTCCTGTTGTCCGGGGGCGCGGCTACGGAGGCTGACCGAGGATTTTACATCTCGCTGCATACTAGTTCTTAATGTTTCCGAGGTTTTTGTCTACATTGCTTTTTGTTTGTCCTGTCATCTGGAACTTTTATTTGCTGGTTATTATAAATATGGAACGAGTTGGATTGCACTACACCGCACATTTTTTATTATCCCAGGAAATCTTAGACAAATTGGTGAAGGTCGAAACCTTGCTTGTACACCTCTTGGCATTGTAGACTTGGAGCCTTAAAATCTCGAATGCCAAGTCTCTGTTTGGAGTTATTAAGGAACACATGTTGAAGAGAACCAAGAGGAGGAAAAGAGAGAATTAACAGCTGTGCACTTAACATAAGGTTGCAATAACCTTTAACATAACTAGCATAACTGCTTCAACCATATGTCAAAAATTTAGCGCTGTTACCTCAATGCTAACATATAATAGGAATCTCTACATGCTAATGGAAACTAGCATTGTGATAGCCACAATACAATGTAAACATAAACTACACACACGTCACTTCACATGCTCAATATCCTCAACATACCAATGTGTCAATGGCACAAGTGTCATAAATACTTACACACATACTGTAGGTTTCCTGTGCTCTGTGTGAAACAAAAATAAACTTTACTGGCTTGATCTGCTGTTTCAGGACTCCACACTGGCTGGCTACAGCAATCCCAAAGGGTCAATACTCGGTGGTCTAAAAATACTACCACTAGGTGGAGACATTGCATGCCAAGACAGCACATGGACACTGATTGACACTGATTGACACTCTTTTTTGACTGCTGTACAGATGCAAATTAATTAACTAACAACGGTCACTGATCAGTGTTCTTTCAAGACTATTAAGAGTCATCCTAACTGCAAAGTATTTGTAAAGACATGTGTCTTAATTAGAGGAAAGTTGTTATCAATAGAATAATGTGAAGAAGAAACTGTATAATGATAATTTGAGGGATGCCTTGAATGGTCTCAATAAAATGATGGGTTGGGAGTTAGGAAGAGGTAAATGTTTCACTCAAATACTACAGTTTTGCTGTAGATTTGATTGTGGGCATAATGACATTGTTTGTGATAACCTTTGCAATAATATTGCTGACCATACACCTTTTATACTTACTTTTGAAAGTGAGGTAGCAGCCAGCCTAGTAAGGATAACACCAAACTAGGCCCCAAGCCCTGATGGTCTAAGGGGGTGGGTAATTAAAATCTGTTCTCACTAAACTCATTAACTCGTTAAGTTCAGAAGTTGCTTGATCAACATTCAGTGCCACAGCAGTGGAAATTATCCACAATTATTCCTTCAATTTGCTTGCAGGTGTGGGTGGAGCAACTCTTACATTAGTTAACACACTTACCAAACAGATGCAGATGTCTAAAAGTTTCGCAAGGGTTTTGTTTTGGGATTTTAGTTCAGCCTTTAACCATGGAACCACATTTTTATTACAGAGGCTCTTTGACCTTGGTGTAAAAGGCTGGTTTATTTTATGGATTAAAGACTTTATTTTCCATTGGCCTGTCTGTAAATGACATTATGTCGGAGCAAATTTTATGTTTTAAACACAGGTGCATCCCAGGGCCATGTCTTATCACCTGCATGCCATCTTTACTAATGAGATACAGATCCAACATTATAGCAGTGTGAAGGCAGGTGAAGAGAAGAAGTTAAATAAATAGGTCTTTCTTAGATAAATAAGGACGGAGGGGAGCGAACAAGGGATGTGGAGGGCCCCATGCTGTGTTTGCCTTAGGCTCCAAAATGACTAAATCTGCCCCTGCTAAATGACTGTTTAGCTATTGACTATATGACTATATAATCAATTGTCTGGAAAGACTGGTAACATTTTATATATATATTAAATATAACATTTCTTTAACCAATGACCCATTACAGTTTTCCTACTACTCAAACAGATCTGTGTGATGATGACATCTCACTTGCTCTGCATAATGCTTTAGTCCACCTTGAACAGAAAGATTTTCACGTGAGACCCTTATTTTAGATTTTGATCCCTGCCATCTTCTGTCCAAATGCAAATTGCAAAATACGCATTTATAAATACAAGAGAGAGGTAGTCAGTTGTCAAAGCATAATGAAATGACGAAATTAAACATATAAAGGCAAAGTTAATGAGCTCCTAAAAATAAAAATGTAGGGAAAGCAGTGATGACATTAGTCAGTCAAATTAACTGAAGCAAGCAAAACTGTATTTATATAGCACATATTATTCCACAGTATGCTGCACAGAGCATAAGCTGCCATGGAAGTTGTAAAGATAAAAAATTAGATTTAAGTAAACACAATTGAAACATACACGAATAATACATTAAAACATTAGGAAAGTTGGAATAATAATAAATAAATAAAATAAGACCAGCAACTGACCAGTAAACATGAATAAGACATGAATTAAAACCATAAGAATAAATATAAATAATCATAAGTCATGTGAGTTTAAACCAATGAAATAAGTAATAATAAAATAGTTTATTAGTGAAGACCGGCAAACCCAGACGACAGGCGATAGCATTGGCGCACACCTAACATGATTAATGTGGGAAGTTCCAGCGGCTTGAAGCATGAACGCTGAAGCAGTTTTACTGGTTTTCACGGATACCTGGGGAATACCCAGACAGCCCGTGCAGATGAACTGATGGGTCTAGCTGGTTCACAGCTCATGCATGCCGTCAAGATACTGAGGTGGATTTTACAACATTTACTCTCGGCCTTTCTGCAGCCCGTTGCTTCATCTTTATCAATTCACCCATCAGCCAAGAACTTTTACTTTTATCAGACAACACTCTGATTTTGACTAGAGCAATATCATCTGAAATTAGCATTTCAGAGGGCAAGACACTCGAAGGAAGTATACTGACCAGTAAGTTGCCTACATTAAAACATATCAGACATATCTGGACATTGAGACTACATCAT